ATTCTTTTCTTTACAATAAGGCTTTCAAATAAGTCATGGTTGTACGGCAGTGAAGCATTGGTGTTGAGCACTGATGTCATGCTGTCGTTGATGATGATGATGATGACTGTCTTTTGTTATCCTGGTAGACATCAACTGGAAGGTTATTTGTACTTACGTCGCAGGTGTATTTTGGTCATCAAGCAAGTCTTGACTGCAATATTAATAAAAATTACCTTTGAACCAAACAGGTTTTGGACAACAAGCTGAATGAGAATGCCAAGAAATGGGCCGAAAAATGTGTTTATAAACATCAAGCTAAAATAAATGATGGCGAAAATCTGGCAGTATCAAGTGATAGCAGTGAAAAGTAAGTCAAGTAATTCTGACAACTGCTCCTGTTGATTTATTAGCTAACATTTTCTCGTAATGTTTGTCTTACTGCCTTTATTGTTTACCCGGTGATTTTCAGTTGGAAGGCTAATGATCAGAGGATGCAGCTGACGAACTGGCGGTCTAAACACAACTCCGTGGTGTGCGGATGAGTATATATATATATATATATATATATATATATATATATATAACATTTTAACCAGTTGCAGTGTGAGGAGATCTATCTANGTGGGAATATATATATATATATATATATATATATATATAACCGTTTAGACAGTTGTAGTGTGAGGAGATCTATCTATTATCAGTTGAGGTGTCTCCCTGCAATTGAATGCGGTCTATGCAGTAATTTTTTTCACCCTTCTCGGGAATTATTAGAAGGAAATTACAGAATATTTTGGACCCGTAACCTTCTACCTGATAGTTCGGACACCGGACATCTCGGCTTTGAGCGATTAGCTTGCCAGCACTTAAACAGGGTATGGTGCCGTTTACCCTTCAACTGCGAAAATCCCATGTTGTAATCACGTACCCGTTGGCATCTCAGATGGCCACTTCTCAAATGGACGTTCTACCCATTTTATGAAGTTATTCTTCCACTGAGCTACTTGATGTCTAATTTTCTCATACGTCAGAAACGTCTGTGCTAAGATATGCACCTGATTCATCGCAAAAATTGTTTTCCTACTATCGACCGATCTATGATTTGAAAACAGGTATCCCTTTGTTGAAGGACCTTTTAAATGCGCTGTTTTAAGTAGAAGGGTTTAGATGATAATTTTTGGTTATTTCAGAAGCATTCAACTACTAATGACTTCTACTTTTTTAAAGCCCAGTGGAGCTCTGGTTCGATAAACATAAGACGTACAACTTTGGAAAACTCACAAACCAAACTTCTACGGAAACCGACCCATACACCCAAGTAAGCAGAACACATATAGTGCTTAATATAAATAATCCCCTGCTTAATCAAGCCATCTTTGCTGAAACTCCGACAACCACTTTCTCTTATAGGTCTTTTGGGAAAAAAACAAAGCACTTGGAGTGCTATCAGATTTTTGTGAGACTATGAAGGATGGTAAAGGCAACCCTGTTGGACAAGCATATTTCTCGGTCTGTCGATATTCACCAAGGTAAAAAAACTGTCGTTTTTTGTGTTTCCCTGACTACTTTGTTTTGATCTTTGTACATGGTGAATATCACGTTATCCGTTTGATGAAAACTCTCCGCGGGATGCAAAATATTACGAAATGAAAACTGCATTATGTCTGTCGATCTTGATTTGGTGCGAATAAGTCAAGCAGCGCCGCATCACACCTAACTTTTTTCACGAATCAACGTGATCCACTTTCTTGTTGCTCTAAGGCTGAAAGTCACCTTGATTTTTATTTGTGATTTAATCAATGTATTCATTGTTATCTTGCAGCGGAAATATCATGAATGAAGAACCGTATCAACGAGCTTGACAACTTTGTTATCTCATCTGGAAGTACAAGGCTGTCAACAGTGAGTTTAGTCCAACTATGTCCGAACTGTTGTTGGAACAATAAAGAAAAGTGAATTTGTGCACATTGTGTTATATAAACTTGGAACAGTTGTCTTTCTATTTTGTTGTCTGTGCCGAAGAGCTGAAATCACAAGCGGAGCGCCCTTTGCTTCACATGGGCACGAGAACTTCATTTCAGTAAGGACAACGTTAGATGGTGCACTATCCAACATGGATTTAAGTATATGGTTTTGATAAGTTTACTTCTCTTCACAGTCCGGGAGCTTGAAGACGGTCAGGCGAGGTGTGAGCATTTAAGCGTTCTAAAAAGCGAAACGAGAAGCAGCAAGGAACAGGCCCTTGATCCACATATATATGGGCGTTCCAGAACGAGCGAGACACAACAGTTGTCCCATGCTACATATAGCTGGTGGCAATATGGTTCTTCCTTGTTTTTTTGCTCACGTGCCATGCTGCTTTGGTTATTTCGGAAGCTAGTGTTGTAAATATTCAGCTGCAACAGGCGTTTACCGTTGTCCGAGCGTTTTTAATCCAGTCCTAGGCAATCAACCAATATAACCTTAGCAGCACTAAGCTTTCTTATATCAGATAAGCACAACGGTATCTGAACTCTTATCAGCCACTCACTTAGTTTGAATTACTGTCTTTGAGAACGCTCAGGTACAGTCTGTTGGGACGTTAGCAGATAAGGTAAAGACGCAGCGATTACGGGCAATATTACTGCACAGTCTCACAAACGTTGCCAAACGAACCGCCCAGAAGCGAATATCTACGGCCAACTATACAGACAGAGGCTCGGTGGCTTAGACAAATGTCGAGCTCAGCAGTAGCTTCCGCAATGGCCTCTGGAGTGCGCAACCGGGGGCTAGATAAACTGAGTGGCTGATCAGTTTAACAACCGTTTCACTGAGACAGTACATATCAATAGAGAATGAGTTCAGCATAAATGCAAACACCATTTTTTTGAATAACGTGTTTTAACATATGAACATTAAAGACTGCTTCATGCGATAGCTTGAAATATTCAAAATCTTTGGCTGAAGTGTTCAGCTAGGATTCTGTTTAGCCCCCTGTTAAAACCAGACCGGTTTGTAACTAGATGTACTTTGCGAAGATTCTACGGTTTGGATCCAAGTATACATGCCAAACTCTGCTTCTATTATAATGCCTGCATTTGGTCGAGTTAGAACGAAACATCTTCAAAAGCTCAGATATTAGATGCTCATACTCTGCCCTTGAATTATTATCGTGTACCAGGGAGTAGAACATATTCAAGAGGCTATCAAGAGCTAGGGGGGATTCGAGGACTCAGGGAACCACATAGAATAAAAACGTACTGACCTTTCGTCCACCAGTTGTCCTTTAGTGATGATGGCACGGACTCATACTGTAATTTAGCATCTCTCGAAAATTGATTGTTACTACACATGTCAAAAAGAATAACTGCTAAAAACAATTTCTTTCTCAGATCAATTTTGTATGAAGGGACGTTGTTGCATGACACAACATGAACACCATGGGTGGTTTCAACCTTTATTTCGCTTCCTATGCTTCCTTGAAGTATTATTCCCTTTTTGGAAGATCCTCTTTGATTAAAGAGCATTAGGACAAAAGTTGCCGAACGTTTGAGCTATTCATTACATAAACAAAATCGACCACATATGGAATGTAGTGCACAATGAACAAATATTCTTGCACCCAAATTAACTGAATTTCGAATGTAAAAAGTAGCCTTGTATGAATTGAGTTAAGAGGGCTACATTTAAAAAAGACCATTGGTTGCTAACACCTAATTCGAACGGGAAATCTCTGCTAGCATGTTTGAGAGAATACTGGAGACTTGGACTATGTCGAGTATGGATGGCGTTGCACTGTTTTCACACTGCGAGGATTTTAAGCCATGCTAGTCTTCAATGGTACACAATCTGAAGTCATCTGTTCCAGCCAAACAGGCAGGGTAATTCGCATGTCCAGAGGGTGTTTTGGATTGAGCAGAAGCTAACCAGAACTAAATCTATGCCAGCTTGGTCACGGTTATTTTTCCAAAATTGGCATAAATTTATGCGAGGGAATTGACAAAGATTCGAACGTTTCTAGTGAATTGGGGGGGGGTTGGTTTTCCCCCCTCATGCCCAAATCACAGAAATAACCCAGCCTTTTGACAAACAATAATCATTTAACTTAATACCCAGATATTCACTGTCAAATGGCCGCATGTCAAAACGCAATAGCTTACAAACTAGATGATATGTTAAGGGGCGGAATCAGGCTCGAGATAGACACATTGGATTTTAGTTTTGTGCGTACCTTTTCAAGTACTATTAGCGCCTTTTAATTTTGTTACATCATTTTGTGAGTGGTCATCTAGACTCAGAGCCATATCTCTGAACGGTGGGGGAAGTGCGCTAATCAAAAACAAGCAAAAATGGTCATCACTATTCAAAAACATAATATTTTGCGAAATTGCGCTATGACAGAACGATGGGAGAATAACATTTACCTTGAATAAACTGAAGCAAAGCATGTCATGAAATCTGTGAGGAATAAACAAGGTGCTGTGAAGGAAAAGAACAACCGGAGGAATTAAACTAGCATTTAGTGTTCCCTAAATGGCGCTAAGCTGAACTTGATATTCAGAATCTGTGTCGAAACTTTCATGGTGACTTAAAAATTGAGTTTCACTTAATTCCAGTTTCGTTTTTCATCTAACCCACAAGTTAGCAGTGCTGCAAAATGAAGCGTTTTTCAGTGCGCAGAGGGGTGGTTTTTACGTAATGGGAGCCTGTCTTTGAAATGACCTAGAGTACAAAGCCATCCTGCCCTATATGCAGCAGATTTGCTGAACACAAAAACGCCCCCATCTTGTAGACAATAACTTTCGAATTGTCCCACAAAGCTGGATGAGGATGGGGATTGAAGTTGCGCTTCACCTGCATAGCGTTCAGAATGGGGCGCAATTTTGATCTGCGAACCTCACTCGAAATTAGCCAACTTTTTAACCAAAAAAGTAGGACTGCGTGAGGTGTCCCAGTGTTTCTGGCAAGTACCTTTCAAGTATCGCGTCCGTTCCCATCATCATGTTTTGGCTAAATTCAGCCCATATTCCAGTTCAAAGTCTTGTATGAAACCGAATCGGAGTGGCTTCACTTGACGTAGTTATCCATGTTTAAAAAAAACGTCATTACATGCTCACCAAGAAGTCTACAGTGTACGCCAAAGCTTAGCAAACTCGATTAAATTTCCCCCATTATTGTAGTGTTTGATGACAGATTTAGGGGTGTTGGTAAGCAAAAGACCCGTTATTTGTCCCGTTTTCCGACATCCTCAAATTGTACTTCAACGTTTGATCAGTGGTGTCTGTTTTTCTGAAACACGCCAGCGCACCAGAAAGTGTCGCTTGAAACTCAACAGACATAAAGAAGAGCTCGGTTTGTTCAAAACTGACAACACCTCCTAACAACGACACGGACTGTCTAAGCTTAGATTTCGGGGGGCTGCCATAGACTGTGACCAACTAAACAACCAAACCATCCTAACAAGTTTTTTTGCAAAAGATTCACCACCAAAAAGAATAAATGTCATTTAAGCTGTGGGTTTTCCGTTGCCACAGCAATTCTTTTGAGTTATGCGAATGTCAAACAAAAACTCTAACCTGGAAACATCACAAACGAGAGATTCAGATGGCTTCCAGGTGAGTCTCTCACAAAACCCAATTTGTTTATAAATGTGTGTATTTCGCTAAAAATCGTAATCGTTTCTATGCTCTCATTGGATGATAACCATTGATTCGTTTGACCTCAGTCGTGATACAAGGTAGGTAGCCTTGACGTAAAATAGAGCGTGATACTTATGCGTGATCCCTACATATGATCATCATACTGACAAGGAAATTATTACTAACCTAAGATTATTGGGTAGGTGATGTTTTTTCAGGTTACTTCGTCATCTAAGGTAATAGAGAAACACGACAGCTTTGTTAGCCGAGCAGCGAAGGATGGAAAACTATCGCTATTTGTCGGTAAGTTATTGAAAGTTCAAAAGGAATATGAAACTGTTCTTGCCCGGTTCCTGTACACAGTAACGACTAGTATTATCTAACATTATCTGAGGAGATGAAATCGTTACTTTCATGAAAGTGTCGTTTAACTGAATTTTTCCTAAAATTATGGACTACTACGTGAACCAGTCGAGAGATGGCAAAAGTGCCAGGCATGATGTTTGGAATCCTGCCCTAAATTTCTTTGCATAGAAGTTCTGCACTGACATTCTCGGAAATACATGGTGTTCCGTTTCCTTCTCAACTGACTCACCAAATTATTTTGCTTGTACCTCGCGTTTGACCCGTCAACAACAATCGTTTCACTTCGTGTGAGACGATAATTTTCTTCAATATCTGACACCATACTGAAACGTGTACGCGTGGAACGTGTTATGGTGCTTTTTACTGTTCTTCTCACTACATTCGTTCTGTTCAGCTGGTTGCATTTGAACTAAAATCCTTGAGGGTCCGTCCTACACACTATGTGAGCGTCCTTATTAACACTAAGTCTTTTCAAATAGCGACGTAAAACAACTTTTTGTGAACTCCCTAATACAATGGCCAATGAGCCATAAAAAACTTTTTGAGTCA